GGCTGTGGGATGGGGCATTTGGGCAAAGCTCAGGGGAAGCAGGGGAGGGGAGGTCCCCTAGAAAGGGCTCAAGAGTGGGCCTTACATCCCTTTAGCACAGAAACTATATCCCTTACCTCCTCAGCCTCTTGGGGCCAAGGGACATTGATCCAATCCTGGGGGATCCAGTGTGTGTGTGTGTGTGTGTGTGTGTGTGTGTGTGTGTGTGTGTGTGTGTGTGTGTGTGTGTAGAAATGTGCGCTATGTGTGTGTGTGTGTGTGTGTGTGTGTGTAAACATGTGCTCACAATTCAACATGTGAGCAGATGGATCTTGTGGTAGTCCAGTGTGTGTGTGTGTGTGTGTGTGTGTGTGTGTAAACATGTGCTCACAATTCAACATGTGAGCAGATGGATCTTGTGGTAGTAGCTGGGGGTAGGGAGGGATTCTTTGTGATCCAAAACCAGACCCTAGTGTGACCACAAGTTCCCCCATGAAAGGAAGACCCTGGATGTACACACACACACACCTGAATAGGTGGACAGCTGCCTCCCTACTTCACACCTGACGACTTTGCAAATGCTCTTCCCTCTGCGCTCCACACCCTTTCCCCTGCTCTGCCTGGAAAACTCCTACTCACCCTTCAAAACCTCATTCAAGTCCCTATGTTGGGAAGGCTTCCCTTACCCCCTTCCTCTCTATGGCTTCCTCCTGACCCATCACTACGCTTCAAACAGACCCTTAGGATAGTTCCACTCTCAACAGTCCAGGGACTGTTGGTTTACGGGTAAGGGGCAGCGTGCAGCAGTTGCGGTCCATCCTTCTCTAGGTCCCCACCCCTACGACAGGACACAGAGGAATGCTCAATGTTTGTTGACTGACTGAGTGAGCAAGTGAATATAAACACACAAAGAATTTGCAGGAAGAGATGGCAGAAGGAGACTTTGGGGAGAGACCTAGATGATGAACTGCTGAGAATATGCTGTGTGACCCAGGGCGAGCCCTTCTCCCTCTCTTGTTCCCAGTGTCCCTCCCTTAGCAGAGATGACCCACTAAGCCCTGCGGGAGCCTGGACCAGGGCTAGGTCTCTGCCTTCCCCCACTCCCACTCCCCCAGGGACTCACTGGTATTGGCCAGCGGGCACAGCTCACAGGGGTTGCCCCAGGCCCGTCCCAGGGAGCAACAGCAGGATGCTCGGGTGACGCCAACCCCGATCTCCACACTGCAGGAAATGCCACCGTCCCCTCGGTCCTGTGTGTCCAGGAAACAGTTCCCGACCCGGGTGTCTTAAGAGGCAGAAAGGGATGGTTAGCAAGTGGTCGGGGAGAAATGGGGTGTGTGTGTGTGTGTGTGCACGCACGCGTTTGCACTTCTGTGTACGTGTAACTGTGTGTTATTCTATGTGTGTCTGTGTGTGCATGGGTGCCTCTGTGTGTGACTGTGGAATTGTGTGCATGCATATTTCTGTGTGCATGTGTGACTCTATGCATGTGTCTGTCTGTCTGTCTAGAGCAGAAGGCTGTATCTCAGCAGACAATCGGGATGATCACTCTGGCCAAGGGCCTGTGTGTCAGGAGCAGGTGGATCTGGGTGACCCAGGCTATGGCCCCATCCAGCCCACTGACCCGAAAACCCCACCCGGAGTGGAGTGCGTGCTCACCCACGCAGCCCACCCCGCTGGGGTTCAGCTCAAAATCCTGGGGGCAGTTGCAGAGGTAGCTGCCGGGGGTGTTGACACACAGGCCGTTGATGCAGTTCACGGGGTCTGCACACTCATTCACATCTGTGGGATTGGGGCACCGTCAGCAGGGAGCCCTCCCTTGACCCACTTCCCTCCTGCCTTCTTCCCAGGGAGTCAAGCCCTTGCTGTTGGGGGCCAGGCTTAGGGGCAAGGTCACATCCTCCCCCGGGAAGAAAGCCTGATGGGACAGCAGCCTCTGGGGTCTGCCCTGTCCCAGGCGACCCCACGCCCTCCCCTGCTCTGTTCTACTTGGCCTGGAGGTTTGCCCTTGACAGCTCTCCCTGCCCCAGATTCCACGAGCTAACCTACAAAAAGCAACATTCAGGACATGTTTTGAGCCAGGGGCTGGCAGACTACAACCTGTGGGCCAAATCCGGCCCCCTATCTGTTTGTGTGAATAAAGTTTTATTGGCACACAGGCACGCTCATTCATTCACTTATCGCCTGTGTCTGTTTCTGAGCAACAGGGCAGAGACTGTATGGCCGAAACCTGAAAATATTTACTGCCGAACCCTGTTTGGGACACACAGGTGGGAGACCATTTTGATGGTTGTGGTGGAGGGAGCTCGACTTTGTCAATCCACTGCATTTATTCAGAGGATGATAAATGAGGATGATGAAGGTTAACGGGGCAGGAGCAGTACTGGAGACGGGGGTCACACAAGGCCGCCTCCATGAGAGGACATGTGAGAAGAGATCTGTGGGCAGTGAGGGAGTGAGCCGCACACCCCCCACCCCAGCCCCATGGATCCCACACCTGTGCAGTTGCCGCCTCCGCGGTCCAGCTCGTAGCCCTCATCGCAGATGCAGCGGAACATGCCTGGCAGGTTCTCACAGCTCCCGAACACACAGAGGTTCCCGAGAACACACTCGTCCACATCTGGGTGGGGGGACCCCAGCTCAGTGCAGTCCAGCCCACCTGGCATCCTGCTCCTGTCACCCCCAGTGCCAGTGCCTCCAGGGACCCGCCCACACCCCGGCAGCCCCAGACCTTACCCTGGCAGGCATGCTGGTCCTCTGTGGGGTTGAAGCCCATCTCGCATTCACAGCGGTACCCCCCGGGGGCATTGAGACACTGCCCGTTCTGGCAAAGTTCCACGTTCTCCGCACACTCGTCCCTGTCTAAGGGGACCCAGAGACGGAGGGCTGTGGGTCAGCTGGCCAGGACCCACTCAGGGTGGGCAGGTGGCCCCTGTCACTCAAACCCTTCAGTCACCCAGGGTTCCAGGGAGCTGGCAAGGAGCCCAGGGAACTTGGAGGGCAGGTGACCAAGTCAGGGCCAGGGAGCAGATAGGGGACCTGGTCACTCAGGATCTGGGGTGGAGGGCCGCCAGGAAGTAAGCAAGTTTTCCTGTTCCCCACATCCATAAGGCTCCATGCATTCTGAGTCCAGGGGAGAAGACTGCCTCCAGGGACTCAGGCTCTGGCCTGTGGCCCCAAATGCTGAAGGCTTGTCCTCTCCGGCACCCACGGGGTGGGTGGGTGGATCAGTGCAAGTCGGGAAGCCAACTGACCACTGTGGCCACCTTGGAATCCAGCCCCCATGGCTGTGCCTCTCGGGCCCCGCCAGCCCTCCCATCCCAACCCCTGACCTCACCTTCACAGACGTAGCCATCCCCAGCAAAGCCCGGGGGGCAGGCACAGCGGTAGGAGCCGGGGGTGTTGAGGCAGTCAGCTCTCGGGCTGCACCCATGCTCCTGGAAGGCACATTCATCCAGGTCTGCAGGAGATGGAACCCGGAGTCCCCTGGGTGTGTGCACTGAGGGGCTGCAGGGAGGCAGACCCTCCAACCCCAGCCCTGACCGGCCCCCCTGGACATGCCTGAGCCCAGCCACCCCTCCCTGCCGCCTGCCTCCCCCCCACCGCCCCACCTACCTCTACAGCTCTTGCCCGGACCTCCTGCCCTCAGGCACTCACCGTGGCATTCGAAGCCATCCCCCACCCAGCCTGGCTGGCACCTGCAGCTGAAACTCCCAGGGATGTTGAGGCAGGAGGCGTGACCATCACAGCTGTGTCCCCCAAGCTCACATTCATCCACATCTGAGAGGAGAGGAACCCAGGCATAGGAGGGGCAGGACCAGGAGAGGGGGTGGAGGATGCAACACCCCTGGGAAACCTGGGCCCAGCAGAAATAGGGCTTCAGGTACAGAGTGGCAAGACAGTGCCAGTGCAGGAGCAAGGATCTTCCCTAGGGCAGGGCTGGCCCAGACATGTCCCCACACCGCTGCGGGAGCTTCCGCCTTCACCCGGAGCCCAAGAGGAAAACCCCCAAACCCAACAGGGCCTGACTCCCAGCAGCCCCCAGAAATGGTCTGAAATGGCAGCATGAGAGACTTAGGGCAGACACTAAGAGTAACTGTCCTAATGCACATGCTCCCTCTCTAAAGCAGGATTTCCTTCTAAACCAGTGTGTCCAATCCTCAGCCAATTTTGCATCACCCTTATCTCGGCCATGTTCATACACCACCTAAATGAGCTGCTGTTCGCTGAGAGTTTCTTTACACTGCCTCGCATTTTTACTCACGTGAACATGTTTTAAAAGAAAAATAACAACGATCTCTAAGAAATCATGGGTTTGATACTGTTTTCCAAGGTTTGTCTCTAGTATGCATTAAAATAACTATGTAATTATGGCAAGTAGAATTATGTTCTCCCAAAAGAGTGTGTTCCAACCCTAACTCCCAGAACCTCTGAATGTGGCCTTTTTTGGAAATAGGGTCTTTGTAGGTGTCACCAAAATCAGAAGACGTCATCCTGGATTACAGTGGGTTCAAAACCAATGACTGGCGTCCTCATAAGAAGAGGGAAATTTGGACACAGAGGGAACACCCTGTGATGATGGACGTGGAGGTTGGAATGGTGTGTTCAAGGATGCCAAGGACCAATGGCCACCACCAGAAGTGAGGAGAGAGGGATGGGAGAGATTCTCCCTCTGGGCCCCCAAGAAGGAACCAACCCTGCCGACACTATGATTTCAGACTCTGGCCTCCAGAACTGTTAATTCTAGAGAGAGTAGATTTCTGTGGTTCTGAGGCACCAGATTTGTGGTCAGGGGGTTCAGCAATCCTAGGAAGCTAAAACAGGAACTACGGAAGTGTTTAAATGTTCATCCCTGTACCACTTAAGAGCATCAGGCTAGCATGCTTTGGGAACTGATGTGGATACTAAGGGATCCAGAGCTCACCCCACAGAGCTGTTAAGGGAGCCCCAGGGGCACGTGATCGGATCCTAATTTTTGCTTTAACATGAGGCCCCACCAGTGGAAATGTGTAAGAATGAGGTCTGGCTGTGCTCTGCTCCAAGGGATGGGGCAGACCCCATGAACCCTAAGCTGGCCCCTTGGGGGCCCCCTCGCCTGCTCCACTGACCACCAGCTCACCGGAGCAGCCCGTGGCCCCCTTCCTGACGACGTAACCCAGCTGGCAGTGGCAGACAAAGGAACCCCTTGTGTTCTCGCAGACCCCATGGAGGCAGATGTAGGGGTTCAGGTCACACTCGTCCACATCTGTGGTATGACAAGAGAGGAAGCAGGTGAGGGTGGGGATGCAGCAGCATTGCTAGGTGCCCTGCCACATGGGTCCCCTGCATTGGGGTTCTCTTTGCCCATCTTCAGGGGTGGGGAACTCCCCCAATTCCACCACTGGGCAGCCACAAATATTCAGTCAACAGTCTACAGCACATATTCCGTGGAACACACCGAACATGCATTCCCAAAAGGATTTTATACCAATACATTTAGACAACGCTGAGTTAAACAAAGTTAACTCGATTTTTTTCTCCTGCAGGACTTTTCAGAGCCTTTATGCCAACGTGGATCTGCAAGAAGGGATGGAGGAAGCAGCATTTCCTATTTAACTTGGTCCTAAGCCCCCTTTTCTTCAGTGTTTCCTAAGACACCTGTGATCGGGAATGCTTTAAGCTGCCCTGGGCTGGGCACATCTCCCTGGCAGGGTTATGTTTTTTACTTCCTGGTACTTCCTCACGCTGGCCCCAGCTTTGCTCTGATGGGGCACCCAGTAGACATCTGCTCCCTGGGCCCCGTGATGACCTGCAGCCAGGGACAGGACAGTGATCACGGCCCAAACAACCTGGGTTTCCAAGCAGGGCTCAGAGAATACAGTGTCTTTCCATCTAGCTCACCTTCCTCTGCAGAAAACCCCTTGGTCTGCAGTGATCCTATACATTGCTTTCAGAACAGGTCATATACCTCTGTATGCACTGGGTACATGGTAAGTGTTCAGTAACTGTTCATATCAAGGGCCTCTGCTGCTGTGAATGAGATCTCACGGGTCTTGGTGCAGGGGCTCTAGGCACAGGTGGCCAGGAGCAGACCGCCAAGTGAAAAGCCTCATCTCCCCTGCCTGCGTGTGACGGGGATGGGACTGGCGTCTGTCTTGCCCACATGGCCTCTTTGTGGAAGGGCTGGTGGGTGAATTGTGAAGCTGCCTCCTCCACCTATATGTAGTCCCAGCTCCTCACCTACACACATCCTCATGTCCAGCGTGGCCACAAAGCCGTCGTAGCAGAGGCAGCGATGACCCCCCGGCACGTTGATGCACTGGCCCCCGTCACAGATGTCCGGGTTCTCCTCACACTCGTCCACGTCTGGGGGAGCAGGGTGGGGGGCTGGGCTGCAGGCAGGCAGGGATGGAGGGGGAGCCCCGGGGACCCTGCTGCAGGGTCAGCGGCCTGTCTCGGGTCTGGCCGGCTGCGTCTGGGTCAGGAAAGGTGTGTTCCCCATCCCAAGTGGAGGGAGGGGGCCGCGCGCGCCCACCTGCACACGCCCTCCCATCGGGCATCAGCAAGTAGCCGTGTCCGCAGCCACACCGGTAGCTGCCCTCGGTGTTAATGCAGTGCACGTGGCACCCACCGTTCCCAGAGCGGCATTCGTCCACGTCTGCGGGAGGCAGGGCGAGGTAGGGGTCGTGGCGGGAGTGAGGTGGGGGTCGTGGCGGGGTGGGAGGCAGGGCGAGGTGGGCTGTGGTGGGAGCGAGGTGCGTTGGCGTGGCAGGGCGGGAGGCAGGGCGAGAGGCAGGACGAGGTAGGCGCATGGCCGGAGCGAGGTGGAGGCGTGGCGGGGCGGGAGGTAGGGCGAGGTGGGGGCGTAGCGGGAGTGAGGTGAGT